TGACACCACTGCACTCTACTGAGGGCAACATAGTTAAGACTCTGTCTCACAGTAATAATTAATAGTTACAAAATAATAGTGAAGCATTTACAAAATATTACTTACATACAAAAAGCCATCAAAGTACTAGCTTCCCTAATGTAGTTATAGACATGATTCCACAGAATAGAGGCTTGAGAGCCCAAGGTCATGGCTTAAGATGCACCAGATACCCCATCCCATTCCAGCACTTCCAGAGGACAAAACACAACTGCATTTTTTTTTTTTTCCTTGAGACAGAGTCTCACTATGTCATCCTCGGTAGAGTGCCATGTCGTCCCAGCTCAGAGCAACTTCAAACTCTTGGGCTTAAGCAATTCTCTTGCCTCAACCTCCCAAATAGCGGGGACTATAGGTGCCCGCCACAATGCCTGGCTAATTTTTGGCTGCAGTTGTCATTGTTGTTTGGCAAGCCTGGGCTGGGTTCGAACCCGCAAGCCTCTGGTGTATGTGGCCGGCACCCTAGCCACTGAGCTACAGGCACTGAACCCACAACTACATTTCTTCCAGAGGTAAGCACGTGGGATTGACACAGCCAAAGGCTATCGCTACTAATACTGGGCCTACCTTGAATTCAGATAACAACCAAATCACATTCCTGACACCAACCTGATACGATCACAAACAATCTGGTACAAAGACTGGAGGGTTAACTTGTGCTTGGGGACAGAAATCAGCAGTGGCTGCCCATACAACACTGCCCCGGAAGAAGTGCTCGATGCCCTTGACTTCCTCTCCCTGAAGTAGACTGGAAGTGTGACACATTCTGCTCCATCCATGGAAGTACTGCAAACCTCGTACCTGTATCAATCATACAAGAAGGCACTTTTAGCAGCAGGTCCCTATGGGCAAAAGGGATCTTGGGTTGCAGCTATACAGTAGCCTAGACTATGGTTAGTGGGACAAAGTGTATGTTAGTAGAAAAGGTGGAAACCTGGGCAGCGTCTGTGGCTCAGTGAGTAGGGCACCAGCCCCATGTACTGAGGGTGGTGGGTTCAAACCCAGCCCCAGCCAAAGTGCAACAAAAAAGTAGCCAGACGTTATGGTGGGCGCCTGTAGTCCCAGCTACTTGGGAGGCTAAGGCAAAGGACTCAGCTAAGCCCAAGAGCTGGAAGTTGCTGTGAGCTGTGATGCCATGGCACTCTACCAAAGGTGATAAAAGTGAGACTCTGTCTATCTCTTAAAAAAAAAAAAAGAAGGAAAAAAGAAAAGGTGGAAACCATTTCCAAGATGATTTTAGTGGCAGAGTCAGGAATCCCAAGGAAGGAGGATTATTCACAACATGAATTTACAGAACCTGAGCCTCAGGGCTGACTTGAGGGTCCTTTCCCAACCGTAACCTCAAACTCTGTAGTTCTTCAGATGGGACTCAATACAGATGATGGCTGTCATCCAGAATATCACTCTGGACAGAAAAACAGACGGGCATCACGGCCACCAAGTTCATCTTTTGTCACCAAGGAGCTTAACATTGAGAAATTCATTCTCAATACTCTGACTTTAATAAAATCAAATATTGTACAAGGGGCAGCGCCTGTGGCTCAGTGAGTAGGGTGCAGGCCCCATATACCGAGGGTGGCTGGTTCGAACCAGGCCCCAGCCAAAGTGCAACAAAAAATAGCCGGGCATTGTGGCAGGAACCTGTAGTCCCAGCTCCTAGGGAGGCTAAGGCAAGAAAATTGCCTAAGCCCAAGAGCTGGAGGTTGCTGTGAGCTGTGATGCGATAGCACTCTACCGAAGGGCAAAATGAGATTCTGTCTCTAAAAAAAAAAAACAAATATCGTACAAGGATGTACACCTGGAATGTTAGCCAAAGATACCTTTTTTGAAAACAAGAAGAAAAACTTATGAAACAGTTGTTTGTTAAAAAACACTGAAGTGAAAGAATCATATTTAATGTTTAAAATCAGAGATAGCAAACAAAACCACTAAATACAAAGCAATGATTTTGATAAATGTGTGTTGTACTTAATGAATACATGGGATTGAGAAGATTTATAGATGTTTTATCTTGGAACAGATGTTACCAAAATTGCTGGCAACCCACTGTGTTCTTTCCCTCTTACTATAGGGTGAGACAGAAGTTTACTGATTCAATTTTTGAAATCATAAACACACACACACACACTCTCTCTCCCATCCCCCACCCCAATGCTTGGAAAACAGTCCTGATTGTAGTTAGGCAGGAAGAACTTCTAATACAACTCACAAAAACATGCAAGGTGTGGCTGGGTGTAATGGCTTACACCTGTAATTGCAGCACTCTGGGAGGCCAAAGTGGGTGAACTGCTTGAGCTTAGTAGTTCAAGACCAGCCTGAGCAAGAGCAAAACCCCATCTCTAAAAAACAGCCAGGAGTTGTGGTGGGTGCCTGTAGCTACATGGACAGCTGAAGCAAGAGTTCAATATTGCTGTAAGCTATAAGCCACAGCATTCTACCAAGGGTGACAAAGTGGGACTCTCTGTCTCCCAGCTCCCCCACTTCCCAAGAGTACAAGGTATGCTCAAGACAAAAGACTCTGTTGTCCAGTATAATGGTTAAGAACCAGGCCTTGGGGCTTGGCGCCCATAGCACAGTGGTTATGGCGCAGGCCACATGCACCAAGGCTAGGGGGTTTGAACCCACCCAGGGCCTGCCAAACAACAATGGCAACTACAACAAAAATCAGCCAGGCACTGTGGCAGGTGCCTATAGTCCCAGCTACTTGGGAAGCTGAGGCAAGAGAATCACTGGAGCCCAGGAGTTAGAGGTTACTGTGAGCTATAACACTACAGCACTCTACGGAGGGATATAGTGAGATTCTTGTCTCAAAAAAAAAAAAAAAAAAAGAACCAGGCCTTGGAATGAGACTGGAGATTCCAGGTCCACTGCTGCTATTTTCTGGTTGCTGAGACCTGACACAAGAACCCTAACTTCTGTTTACTCAAGGACAACAGGATTACCCACCTTAACTGGGTGTGGTGAGAATTATATAACTAAGCAGCACAGTGCACAACAGGCTCACAAAACATTAGATGCTATTACTGCTTTCATAAGAGAATTATCAATTCATGTTTAAAAGAATTTGGTAAGGAGGCTGAGGCAAGAGAATTGCTTCAGCCCAAGAGTATCAGGTTGCTGTGAGCTGTGATGCCACAGGAGACTGTCTCAATTTAGAAAAAAAAAAAAAAAGAATTTGTTGGCCTGGGTGGTAGCTCACTTCTGTAATCTCAGCATTTTGGGAAGTCGAGTTAGGAGGATCACTTGAGGCCAGGAGTTTAAGGCTGCAGTGCACTCCAACCTGGGAGACAGAGTAAGACCCTGTCTCTTAAAAAAACACAAAGCAAAAAAATAATTTGCATTCCTGTTGGTTGACCCTTAAACCCCCTGAAAATTCCTTTGTTGGTGATGGTCTGCCACATTCCTCATAGGGAGATGCCCCACTTCCATTCAGGCCAGTTGTGTGCAAACACTAATTAAGGGAGACCATATTAAAGGTTTGGAAAAATAAATGGATGTGAAATTAGCCAAGTGTGATGCCTATAGACATAACTACTCAGAAGGCTGAGGCATAATTTCTTCAAGTCGGGATTTTAAGGCTGCACCAGTGACTTATGATCTCACCACTGCACTCCAACCTGTGCAACAGAGTAAGATTCTGTCTCAAAAAATAAAAACATGAGGCTTGGCACCCCATAGCTCAATAGCCACATACACCGGAGCTGGTGGGTTTGAACCCAGCCCGGGCCTGCCAAACAACAATGACAACTCCAACTAAAAATAGCCAGGGCTAGGCGCCCATACAACAGTGGTTACAGCGCCAGCCACATACACCAAGGGTGGTGGGTTCAAACCCAGCCCGGGCCAGCTAAACAACAAGGACACCTGCAACATAAAATAGCCAGGTGTTGTGGTGGGCACCTGTAGTCCCAGCTACTTGGGAGGCTGGGGCAAGAGAATCACTTAAGCCCAAGAGTTTCAGAATGCTATGGGCTATGATGTCGTGGCACTCTACCTAGGGCGACATAATGAAACTATGTCTCAAAATAAATAAATAAATAAACAAAATGGCTATGAAAGCTGACTTTCTCAGGTCCTAGTTTTTAGCAAAGTGTAAGTTGGTGGCAGTCTCTGTGCAAGTATGAACAGAAATAGATCTTTGGAGTGGCCAAGAACCATTCCTTTTAGAGTGATCTAGAAGTCACAGGATAAAAAATATAAAGGTATCTCCTTTGTGCAGTCAATTCCTTAGCCAAAAACAAAAACTTAAAATCCTAAAAACCTTTCTCAATAGAAACAAGTTTTTGAGTAAGAAGTAAAGAGGGAAAACAGCATAGTTGTGCTCAGCATTCCCAAAGCAAATGGCTGCCTGAGAGTTGCAGACAACTTCATGTTCCACCAGACTCAATCCAGGAAGGGACACGTATAATGACATAGAGTAGCCATGAAGCAGCAGCACATGGGAGGGGCCAGAGAGACCTCTGTGCTGTCCCCAAAGAGACAGAAAAAGTGAATCTCAAACTTCACAGAATGTTTGAGCTAAAAATGGTTGTTCTTTTTTTTTTTGGTTGTAGTTATCATCACTGTTGTTTGGCAGGCCTGGGCTGGATTCAAACCTGCCAGCTCTGGTGTCTGTGGCTAGCGCTCTAGCCGCTTGAGCTACAGGTGCTAAGCCCATTTTTATTTTTAGAGACAGTCTCATTCTGTCACCCTGGGCAGAGTGTTATGGCATCATAGCTTACAGCAACCTCAAACTCTTGGGTTCCAGTAATTCCCTTGGCTCAGCCTCTCAAGTACGTAGGACTACAGGCACCTACCATAATACCTGGCTAGTTTTTCTATTTTTAGTAGAGACAGAGTCTCACTCTTAGTCAGCCTGGTCTTGAACTCCTGAGCTCAGGCAATCTACTTGCCTCAGCCTCCTGGAATGCTAGCTAGGATTAGAGGTATGAGTCACCGCGCCCAGCTCGAAAATGACTGTCTGAATCAGCCCTACTTGTCATTTCTGAGCTGGAGATGGCACCTGTCTTGAGGAGGCATAGCCCATGGAAGAAAAAGAATGAGATCCTCCTGCGCTGGACCCCTTCTCTTACCTGTTCATGGCTTTCACACAGCTATGACTCTTCTTGAGAAAGGCATCTCTAACAGCAGGATCACTGAATCTCCACCTTCTTCATAGGCAAACTGTGACAAAGGTAGTATCTATCCTGAGAAGACTTATCAGAACGTCTAGCTCAGCAGTGCCAGTAGGTGCTCAGCACTGAAAGCTGCCCTCAGGTCCCTACACACCCATCTCTTACACACAGGCAGGCAATTCCACATAAGCAATAACTGCCAGCACTTCTGCTATGGAGACTTGAATAAGCCAACATCCCTAGAATGTTTCCATAGACCCTACAGCAGAAACTGCTGAGTACTCACACGAAAATGTCATCCCGAGGCATAATGTGGTTTAAACCTTCATCCATTTGGAAAATTTTATGGAACCGGTGATTATACACATCTGTGACCACCATCTAAGAATCAACAGTAACAGAAAGATCATAGGATGGCTAAGAGTGTCATTACTAACTGCTTAAAACCCAAAAACAAATGGAAAAAACCCTACTTGACTGTGCACTCTAGAGTGCACCCCATGCAACCAGCCCTAGAGCTTAGGGCCAAGGCCAAAGGCCCACAGAGGAGCAGCACAACTGCCGCAGAACTAAACATGCTAGTCACACCTGCCTGCAAGTGGCAAGAAGGGTGAGGAGAGAGTGCTGACCAGAGACTACCAATTGTCCAGAATTCTCTGGGGTTTTCCAGAGCCCAAAGTCTCTACACCAGTCTTGGCATACAGGGCTGAGAGCAGAGCTCTGTGGCCATGGCTACTGTAAACAAAAGGGAATAAAAGATGGTATTTCCTGGAGCTAGAGAGCACAGTTTAAGCTGTAGTGTGAACACTTAGTGATGGCCAATAGGGGGGAGACATTCAGACACAACAAATAATCACATTTGTGTGGCTCGGCGCCTATAGCTCAACCGGCTAAGGCACCAGCCACGTACACCTAAGGTGTCGGGTTCGAATCCCCAGCCCGGACCCGCAAAACAACGATGATGGCTGCAACCAAAAAAAAAAAATAGCCGGGCGTTG